GCGCGCCTGTAGTTCCAGTTACTTGGAAGACTGAGGCGGAAGGATCGCCGGAGCCCAGCAAGTCGAGGCTGCAGTGGCGGAGAGCGGCCACTGCACTCCAGTATCGGCGACAGAGTGAGACTCCAACTCAAAAAAAAAAAAAAGAATAATGCTTCCATGAACATTCATAGATAAATTGTTGTGAGGACAGACATAGGTTTTCATTTCTCTTAGGTATATATCTAAGAGTGGAATTGCTGGGTCATGTGGTCCAAATAATTTTTTTTTTGAGTTGGAGTCTCATTCTGTTGCCCAGGCTGGAGTACAGTAGCACGCTCACAGCCACTGCAGCCTCAACCTCCTAGGCTCAGGTGATCCTTCCGCCTCAGCCTTCCAAGAAGTAGCTGGAACTACAGGCACGTGCCACAATGCCCAGCTAATTTTTTTATTTATTGTCGAGATGGGGGGGGGGTCTCACCAAATTGCCCAGGCTGGTCTCGAACTCGTGGGCTCAGGCAATCCTCTCACCTTGGCCTCCCAAAGTGCTGGGATTATAGGCATGAACCACCACACCTGGACCATTTTAAATGTATTTTTAAAAGAGAGATGGTCTCGCTTTGTTGCCCAGGCTGGTCTTGAACTCCTGGGCTCAGGCAATCCTCTTGCCTCGGCCTCCCAGAGTGCTGGGATCATAGGTGTGAGCCACTATGCCCAACCTCAAATGATTTTTTAATACCATTTTCACAGCTATAGTAACATATCCTCACAGTCATATATGAAGAGTAGGAGCAATCCTTAATCCTCTTCCACACCCAACTTACCATCCATAAACAAACTCTCTTGGCATTCTCCCGTGGTCCTGACCATAGTGTTCTGACGTCAACTTCCTGTATGCTCATTCTTCTTAAGCAAAACACTCCAAGGTCTACCATACGAGAGTAATGCATCACCAGATGGAATCTCCAAAGAATAGTTATCCCAACACCTTGTTTTCAAACAGGATGGAACTAGAACCATCTAATTCCTAAAGGTCTCCAATGAAGGAAATATTGCAGTTCCCCCAGTTGTTTATTCTCAGAAATATCTTTCCATAACCAGCCCATCATCAGACATATACAACACAGATATTGAGGAACACCGTTCAGGTTTTTGAACACATTTGAGATGATCCTCAGGAGGTTCTCTATGTCTTCTTGCTCACTGAACACACTACGCCCTGAGGTCAGCTCTTTTTCTACATTGGTACCGCATATCCTAAAGTGAACTCCATTTTGATCTAATGTAGTAAATATGAAAGGGAGCCCCAAAACATGGAATTTATTGATAAGAAATTGTGTATTTATTCTTACATGTTTAAACTTCAGTCACCTTCAAAGGACTCTCCATGGGCTGAGACGCTTTTTCTACTGCTCAAAACAGTTTGCGAACTCATCAATTTTGATGCCTTTTAGTGCTTCTGTTTTTTGTTTCACCTCTTTCACACTGGCAAAATGTTTCCCTTTGAGGACTTTTTTCATCAAGGAAACAACCACAAAAAAAGTTGCTCAGGGTGAGATCGGGTGAACAGGGAGGGCAGGGGTGATGAGGCACATAAACAAGTGGTTCTGGAAATTAACTTTCTTGACAAGAAGAAAATTCAAGGAGAAATTCCATGCTGCATTCTGCAAGGGCCGTGCTCTTTTGGGTCAAAAACTGCAAGCACTCAGAGTGCAGTCAGGTGCACTGTCATGGTGGAAGAACCAGTCACCTGTTTGCCACAACTTGGGACATTTCTTCCACAGATCGTGATGCAACCTTCTTAAAACTTCCAGATTAAAAACTTTGGTTGGCTATCTGATCCAGAGGAACAAATTCTGAGTGTATTAAAAGGGGCCTGCCCTCCAAAAGAGAATTCTTTTTTGGGCCCCCCTCATACAAATGTGGGAGAGTTCTGCTGTCATTCCTTGAGGCATTTTCCTTTTGCTTCAGTAGTCTTCGTTGAATCTATTTTCAGAGTCAACAAAAGTACTGCACAATTTAACATCAAGAATTTTCTGCTGTAGCTGCTTCTGTAACAGCTTGGACATTCTTTTCTTTCTCAGTTCCTCTGAGAGAGGCAAATATAAAATGAGTAATTATCACTGCTACAGATTTGCTGGAGTCAGCAACGCTTCATAGGAACTGCATTTCCTCCCTCTCCTCCTTTCCCTCCCACCACAAACTCTCCCCCATAAGTTAGAAATTAAAGATGTATTACAAGGATAAAGAAATCTGACCTGAAATATGAGTTTCAGCAACAATGGCAAGCAACCAAGAGTACTAACAATAATTTCCAGCGTGGCTGGAAAGGTTAGATGATCTGCCTTTGAAATGAGCCAACCCTGCAGCCTTTCACGAGATTAAAATCAGTTCACTTTTCCTTCTGAATGCCCTGTGCTTTCTCCTATTCCTGCTATCCCAAAAAGATGGGGTGATGCGGCACATAAACAAGTGGTTCTGGAAATTGACTTTCTTGACGAGAAGAAAATTCCAGGAGAAATCCGATTCTGCATTCATTTTCTCATACTTCACTGTGATCAGGATTTATTGTGGTTTCTTTCTTCCTGGAGAGATAATACCTGGGTGATAACATTTCTGACACACAAAAGCTTCAAAACAAAAAGAATGACAGCTGGGTATTATCTTGTTGGGAAATCTCTTAAGTGATGACCATTTATCCACAACCAAGGCCATGTTGGAGCTACAGGAAAGGGGAGGCCACGTCTCTCTGGGGGTGATGACCTTCCACAAAGGAGTTATCTCTGCTCTTGTTTTGTCACCTGTAAAATGAGGGTGATTATAGGACTTCATGGAGTTAGGGTATTTGTGCTTCAAACAGTGCTGGGCAGAATAAACACTAAGCAGCTGTGAGTCTGAGTCCTTGTCATCACCATCACTACAAAGACCACCACCATCTTCCAGAAGCTGCCTGAATAGTGACAAGGAGTGACCCTCGGGGCTTTTCAAGCAAATGCAAAGTCTTGCCATCTTTATTCCAGAGTGTTCTTGTTTCCCCTGACTCATCCTGCATGGAGCATCAAGTTCATAAGACAAAGCAAAGAAAGAAGAGGGCACAGGAGAAAATGGGAGAGGCGTTTTACAATGACAGAAAAATGGCACCTTATTCTGGTTTCTCATGATCATGTTTAAAGGATGAAATTCATGGCCAGACGTGGTGGCTCATGCCTGTAATCCCAGCACTTTGGGAGGCCAAGGTGGGAGGATTGCTTGAGGCTAGGAGTTTGAGACCAGCCTAGGCAACATAGTGAGGCCTCGTCGCTACAAAAAACTTGCCAGGTGTGGTGGTGCACACCTGTAATCCCAGCTACCTGGGATCCTAAACCCAGAAGGTCGAAGTTGCAGTGAGCCATGATTATGTCACTGCACTCCAGCCGGGAGACAGAGTGAGTCTGACTCAAAAAAAAAAAAAAAAAGATGAAATTCTTATGAACATGTTCTCTGATATGGAGAACCAGAAAAAAGGGGAGCTACAAGCAATCTCTGGAGAGAGAAGTCCTAAGGTTGCCCAGTCCAGAGAGCATCCCATTATTTTAAATCCTGTTCTCTTGTGTTCCTACAGGAGCACCCTCGTTGAACCTCAGGAGAGAAGAAAAGGACTCTCTGTTGGGAAAATCACTTTGCAGACTCAGTGAGTTGAAAGCTGATACCCAGACCTACCTCTCTCTGCGGCTGACCAGGCCCTGGGTCCGCGGCTCGGAGATTCAGGACGTGTACTTCCTGGGCCAGTGCAGTTGTGCCCCGGCTGGCACAACCTGACAAGACGGTGAAGCTCTCCATCAAGGCTTGGACAGGGTGGGAGGCGTTGACGGGTGCCAGTTCACACTGCACACCAGGTTCTGGACCTGCCGGGAAAACACAAGCACAAACCACTCAGAAATCGCCATCAATTCTGCCTAAGAGGAGGTGGTTTGGATGATCGAGCCACTGCCAACCCCCTGGAGGTGCCTTTCCAAGGAAGCTGTTTCCAGAACTAGATGGCAAAAAAAAAAAAAAAGCTAGCCTATTCTTCTAAAATCTCAATCTTTTAATGCTCTTTTGGGTGATTTTGATATGTATTTGTTTTTCTAGATTCTTTCTTGGACATGATCACAAGTCACGAATGTACTTTTCTGGATAGAGGACATCTTCCACTTGACATTTGTAGTTTAAATTCCTCCTTCCTCTTTTGGAATAAAATCAGAGCTACATGGAATAAATTGCATAAAGTGCCAATGATGCTATTTATAAATATTAAATACCTAAAATTGTAGCCCCCAAAAGCATAAGATAGTTTCTATCTTTTAAGAGCTTCCCTTTTTTAGGGAAAGCAAAACAAACTTAATAACAACATAAAAGCAAGATATAATAGTACCACAACCAGGGTCAGGGTCATACAGCAAAGTTTGGGACAGAGGTCAGGAAAATCCACCCATAAAACGTAGGTTATGAGCAAAGCTTTATATTGAAAAGGTAGAACCCAGGTTCTACCCGGGTTCTGGTTCCTCATTCTCTCTTCCTCTAACCGATTGGCCTTAAATTCTAAATCCATCCATTCTGCCTCATCTCTCCTTCCTCACTGTCCCTAGACCATTATAAATCTTCCTGAAAGGAGGTTTGGTCTTAAGCCCGCCAAGCCACCTCCCGTACACGTATGGCCCTGCTTGCCTACCCAGAGCTGCTCAGCTGTTTCCCGTCCCTTGAGAACTTTTGGGCTCCTGAGCTCCCTAACACAGCCCACATGGCCTTCCTTGATCTCACCCCCTCCTAATGCTCGTCCCTCTCCCTCCACAACATCGACTTGCTTAAAGGTCTCCAAATATACAATGCTTCATGATGTTTCTAAACTCCATACCATTTTCTCTTTTTTGAGTTGGAGTCTCACTCTGTTGCTCAGGCTGGAGTGCTGCGGCCACGGTCTTGGCTCACTGCAGCCTCTATCTCCTGGGCTCAAGCAATCCACCCTCCTCAGCCTCCCAAGTAGCTAGGACTATAGGGACACACCACCACAGCTGGCTAATTTTCTGATTTATTATTATTATTATTATTATTATTATTGGAGAGACAGGGTTGCACTATGCTGCCCAGGCTGGTCTCAAATTCCTAGGTTCAAACAATCCTCCTGCCTTGGCCTCCCAAAATGCCAGGATTACAGGCATAAGCCACCACACCCACCTCTACTCCATACCTTTATTCAAGCCTATCTTCCTTACCCAAACTCCTCTTCCACTCTAACCCCACCATCACAACAAACATCCCAAGCTGGAGGAGGCTCTCTTTCTCTGTCCCTTTGTAGTCTCTCTGTCTGTCTCCACTGTTGTATTTACTGTGAACACAATAACCACTGGTATCTTTGTCGGTTGAATGTGACCCCGCTGAAGGCTGTGTTACTCATATTTATGTACTCAGCACTCAGCTATGGTACCCAGCATATATGAGATGCTCAAAAAATACTCGTTAAATGAATCATTGAGCTTTAAAAAAAATTGTCCCCTCTCTGACCGGTGAGTCGGGCACCATTCCAGGGACTTGGATTTGGTTGTAGGAATTAAGGGAAATACGTGTCTCCAGAGATGTGAGGTACAACCCCACCACATTCCAGCCTCATCTCACATTGACCGGATAGAGAGAAATGTCCAGGGGGAAGGAGGAACCAGACACTTAACCCTTGCACACTCCTGGGAGCTTGGCGCCACTGTCCCCGTTTGGTAACTCAGGAGATCGGGCTTAAGCATGAAGTACCCACTAAACCACAACCTCCTGAATGGAACCCAGGTAAAATGCCTGGATGAACCCCAGTGAAATCTTCCTGACTTCGAAATAATAAAGGAACCCTCCAGGGTTGTGGCCCGATTGCCAATGCACATGTCGTTCAGAACCAGCCAGTCCCACACGTGCCACTACACCATAAGCAGACGCCGTGCCTGGTGGGCCAAGTCTATTTCAGGACTCGCTGAAATTATCTAGGCTGATAATGGCTATCTGGTCTGAAACGAAGCATGCGTCTTCTCAAATAATCACTGCCATTCTCTGTTTCGCTGGACTGTACCCAGCTGCTTTCGGAGAAAACACGAGGTGGTAAAGGAGGATCTCCAGGCAAAGCAACAGGAGGGTCAGAATGTACACTTCCCGGAACGTCCGGCAGGGTGCAGGGAATGTTTATGTATGAGCAGGTTCTCCTGCTCCCAGCCTCCTGGCCTCCTGGCCTCCCAAAAGCAGTGGGATGTCTGGTGCATTTCTTTTTTCGGTCTTTTTTATTATAAAGATGTGGGTGACAAGTCAGGATTAGGTGCATGAGTGGTCTACATACAGGTGAATTTTGGGCCTCCCCTGTTTTAGGGTCAGGTACCCTTAGTGATGCTCTGTGCCCTCCTACCTCTTGGCAGTGTCCTGCTACTGACGATCTCTCTCTTGTAGTATTGTCATAAATGTTCAGGACCCACTTATGCATGAGAACATGTGGTACTCAGTACTTTGTTTCCGTGATAGATCACTGAGTATGACAGATGCTAAATCCATCCAAGTTGCTGTGAAGTCCATAATTTTGTCCTTCTTGATGGCTGTGTAATACTCCATCGTGCATATGTACCACATTTTCTTTATCCAGTCCACTTTCAGTGGGCAGTAGGGTTGGTTCCGTGTTTTTTTGCTACTGTGAATAGTGCAGCTATAAACATGCATGTGCAGGTATCTTTTCTGTAGAAAGATTTGAGTTCCTCTAAGTATATTCCCAGGAGGGGGATTGCTGGGCCAGATGGAAGGTCAATTTCTAGTTCTTTTAAAAATCGTTACACTGTTGTTATCTGGTGTATTTCACACCCAGCGCTCCTATGACAGTCTCCTCTTCTACCCTATTCTATGATACTTATTTTTAAATAGAGTTAGGGTCTCATTGTTTTGCCCAGGCTATTCTTAAACTCCTGGCCTCAAGTGATCCTCCCGCCTCAGCCTCCCAAAGTGCTGGGATTACAAGTGCAAGCCACTGCACCTGTCCTCTTGTTCTTAATTCTGGCTAGAGCTATCCATGCTGGGAAAGCCTTCTGAATTGATTTCAGAGTTTGCATGATCACAAATAAAATGCTTTTCAGTTTATCGTATGTGTGCAAAGCTCTGACTGGACTGTAGTTCGACTCCAAACACACCTGTAGGAAGGTCCGCGAGCTGCTCAATTCACCCTCCTCCTCCTCAGGATGCCACCATTTCCCCTAGGTCAGCGCACTGCTCATTGCCACACTGGCCCAGGAGCAAAAGTCGATAGCCATTCAGCAGGTGGTAGGCTACTGAGGGAAATCCTTGGTGCTAAGGGTGAGCACTCCTCACCTTAGGATCTATGTGCTCTGTGCCACCAGAGTCCAGGATGGGGCAGGGCCCCTCTTTACAGGCTGTCACTCCACTCCAGTCACGGGTTATACAAGTCAGTCCAAGGTCAAAGAAAAGAGAAAGCAACGCACAGGGAACTCTTTGATCAAGTGCCAGGAGGGCATCTCTTGACAGAGACCCACTGGGGTCAATGTTTAAATACACTCAGCCCAGAGTGTTCCCAACCATCAGATACACCAGAGTTGTAGTTAGTTTTTGAGGTTCCACATTGATCTTTTTTCCTTCCATGTTTGAAAAAGAAAAAAGCTACAAGATAAGATTAAGCTATTTTTATGCCAAAAAAAGGCACAGAAAAAAATCAGGAATTATTTAGCACCATCCCCAAGGGCATATAAAAAATAGTATCTTCAATAGTTCAACACACAATATAATACAATAACTTGTTTTCATTTATGAATTGCTCACTACACAAGGCTAGGTGCTTACCTCCTTCCAACACTGGAAGGAGGGGTATCATCCCCATTTCAAAGGAAAACAAATTCAATGCACTTAGGTACACTTAGGTAACTGTTCTAAGGCTGCCCCAGTCACCCAATGCTTCACACTTGGCCCTTCCTCGGGGTCCTCTCCTTTAGTAGGCCGAACTATGAAGTGCAAGGTCAATGTTCACTGCCTAGGCTACTGTGCCCATACTTTCTGTGACAATCAAAAAGCAGTCATAGGTTTAGGAGTGAGATCTATGGTTTTGTAACTTACTCGTTCACTTATTCTGCAATGCATCCACAAAGCAAGATGGATTGATAGATGGAGAGATACTTTATAAAGCAGCCATTGTACAAATGTTCATCGTGGAACCAAGATGCTTGCTGTACAATGGTTTCAACAACTCCGCATGCCAAAACTTTTCATTAAAAGAAAAGGGCTCGGTGGCTCAGCCTGTAATCCCGCACCTTTGGGAAGCTGAGGTGAGTGGATTGCCTGGGCCCGCGGGTTTGAGACCCACCTGGGCAGGCGAGACCTCATCTCTACAATAACATCAAAAAATTAGCCGGGTGTGGTAACATGCGCCTGTAATTCCGGCTACTTGGAAGGCTGAGGCGGAAGGATCGCTGGAGCCCAGCGGGTCGAGGCTGCGGTGGCCGGAGCAGCCACTG